ACACCTTAGCAGCACTGCCTAAATGCACAGAATATAATTTACACTTTATTGAGTGAAATTAGATCAGCATAAATTAATGTGAGTCTCCTACAGAGATTCATTCACAAGGGAAATTGTGCATTAGCTACTTACAAAGCTGAAAATACGGCAAGTTCATCATCCTCACTTGCAGATATGCCCAAAGCTGTTGCCTTGGTGTAGAAGAATGGTTGGAAACAGGGAGATGAGATAGAAGGGAAAACCCCAAAGACTAACAGACCCATTTGGGCTACTTAAACCTTCCTCAGTCAGCACTTGGGATGAATAAGAGCCATGAAAAAAAGCAGAAATCAATTGAGTCACAAACCCACTATGCAAAGCTTCCAGCAACTCTACCCAAGGAAGTGAGGAGGCAATTGGAGAGAAGAAAAGGGCAGAGCAGTGGCTGTTAAAGGAAATAGTGTGTACATTCAAGAGAGTGCCAGGAAAAGGAAAATGACAAAAGCAAAGGGTTCTGGCCTTTGAGGCATTCCAGGCTGCCCCCACTCACCGTCAGCGCCAGCATGACCTCTCTGTAATTTTTGTTTCCATTCAGCCTCTTCTTCAGTGCTCGAATGGCATCCTTTGGCCTGGAGGACAAACACACTATTTGAACAGACAGCTCAGACACCCTTTTCACATGCCATAAACTGTGGGAAAAGGAATCCCATACCATTTCCATCTGGACATAAACATGTGTGTCAACTTCAGATTACTTGACTACAACCAAACTAGGGTCATGGAGAATTATGTGAGGAGACAGGATATCACAGAAGTTAAGACTGAAGGAATGCCTGAAGCCTCCAAAAAGCCAGGCTGTTGATCAGGCAGGGAAGACTGACAGCCACTCAGACTAAAGCCCAGGGCATAAGACCAGTGATCAGTTCTGCAGACTGCAAGCAGCACAGCTTTCTGGTGCCGAAGGTGTGACAAGGGAAGCTGTCTGTACAAATCGCTGAAATTAGAGACATTGCAGCACTGCAGAGAGATACACCTGATGAAAACAAGAACCCCAGATGTACAAACTCAGTACCCTCTCCAAGAATACATTTTCCATGCCAGCCCTCCCAAGCAGACACTGACCAGAGCAAGTATCACAGAATCATCTGGGTTGGAAAAGCCCTCTAAGATCACTGACTCCAACCACTGACTCAGCACTGCTGCCTTCACCACTAACCCACCTCCCCAAGTGCCACATATACAGGTATTTTTAACACTTCCAGATTTGGTGACTCTACCACTTCCCTGGAGAATCTGTTCCAATGCTTGACCACCCTTTCAGTGAAGCTTTTGTTCCTAATATCCAATCTAGACCTTCCCTGTCACAACGTGAGGTCATTTCCCCTCGTCCTGGATCATACAGGTTTTCTGAAAGGAGCAGGAAGGGTCTAAGGAGCAGGAAAACCATGCAGGGGATCTGCAAACTGCATTCAAATCACGAGCACCTGCCCCAGCCTCACTGCATCTCCTCACGTGCTGAGTACAACTGGATGAAGATTGTGTTCAGGGACCTTTCCGAGTTTGCTGAAGTAGCACATACCCTTCTTCTGTCTCGTTGATAATGTCACAGATTTCCATGTTAAGCGTCCAGTCTTCACTCTGCAAAGAGCCATCTGTGGCCTTTTCTGTAAAGAAAAATAAATCTTTTCACCTCTTCCTGATTAGGTCTACACCTCAATCCATCTTCAGTTACTCCAAGCTGAAACTACCCGGTAAAACACAGAAAAAAACCCAAATCCCTGCTGACAGTAAGCAATGTCAAACCTTCCCTCCTGGTTTTAGGGATCAGCATAGAGGTTTCCAGACAGAATCAATTATCCCTCAAGCTCACTACCTTCAGCCCACATAGATGGGCTGTTCTTCAAAGACTCCTGAATTCCTGGGAGAGTAGGAAAATGTCAGCTAATTCCAATTTAAACTCCTCAGATGCTGCATTGCTGGCAAGTTATGAGGTAGGAAAATATCCCCCAAAATCAACATGACCTCCTCCCTGTTTCAGCAGGTAATACCTCCACAAGAACTGAGGGAGGAAACACAGCAGCTTGGAGACAGAATTCAAGGAATTTCAGCATGAAAAGAATGACCAACATGTGAAAACATTTAGCACAGAACAGTTCAGGTCATGATATCATTCATGGGCACTTTTGTTTTGCTGGGGACTCCTTTACTCCTGTACCATGATCCCTCAATATCTGCTTGCCAGGGGGTCAGGCACTGCTTCCCAATGACCCACACTATGTCCACAGTATCCTCTCCACACTGAGGCTCTGTACACACCTCCCAGTCACACTCTGCTTTCCTCCCAACTCCCAAATCCTCCCTCCCTATCTGTGTGACAGGTAAGTCACTCCGGTGCCAGATTCAATTCCAGGGGAAGGATGACCTATAGCACAGTGACAGTGGCAGATGAAAACTGTTGGCAGTTTAATTTATAGATGTCTGCAAGAGTTGCATAACCATAACTTGTAGTAATCAGTTGACAAGAACTATTTCCTCCTTGGGATTTCCTCCTAAATCAATATAGTTCTGTCTAGCAGTGCCTGGAACATCCCCAGAATTTTTCACACTCCTCACTTGCAGCATTCAGATCCTCTATGCTACCCACAGTCAGGAATGATGTCGAGTTGAACGCAAAGCCTGTCACCAGAGAGACCTAAAAAAGGGAACCTTCAAGCCAAGCATGACCTTCTCCTCTAAATTAGTCTGGGTTTTTCTACAGATCCCTGGCATCCAGTGCTGGAAGGCAAACAGGGTAAACAAAAGCATTTTAAAAATGTAAAATAAACAAAAACCCCATAACCTTTTCAACATTTTAAAGCAGAAGCAAAACCACAGGTACCATCTTCTCCAACTATCCTTCTGTCTTTACAACTGACCCCAACCTGTCCCCCTGAACAAGGCAGAGTTTGTTTGGGAAGACCAGGCTCCAAGGATTTGCCACATCTCTCTGTTTACCAACAATGCTTCTCCTATTAACATTTCCATCACTGTGACTGAGGATACAGATGCCCACAGGCCATAATTATGGGACACTGTTTGGAGAAAGACTGTGTCTGGGTAATTCAAGTTTCAGTGACTTGTCTACACCAAGCTGCTAAAGCAGCTCCACCAAGGACAGTAAGGACTGAAACAAACCAGACAGCTATGCAAAACCCCAGCAGAGAGAGCTGAAAAGAAGCCATCTGTTTCCAGAAGGGAGAGGACACCATGGAAAAAGAGATTATGGAACAGAAGAACATTCTTTGCGTCCCAGTCCAAGCTGTAGCACTGCAAGGCACTCACCAGGGAGGGAATGGAGGCTGAAAATCTCCCAGCTGGAACTTCAGCCATCACCACCTCATGGTAGAGTTCACCTTGGTCAATGACAATTCTTTCTGTTTGAGACTCACTGCTTTCAAAATGTCCAACAGACACTGGACAGGTTACTGAGTGTTTTTAATTTACTGCATTCAGGCTATGTGAGTTAGAGATTCTCTTAAGGAAGAGCACAGGCAGAACTGTTTAATGTTTTATGGAATACAGGAATTTATCTTTGTGCAAAGCTACTCATAACAATCACTTTTATGAGTTGCTTTTTGTTCTTATACTGTACATAAGGTTTTACTGCTATAGAATGTGATCTCTGTGTTGCTTAGGAAAACATTTTTTTTAACGTTTGGAAAAAAAACCCCACCTTAATATTCAGAGATATATTTAAAAAATATCACTACATCTGATCTGCTGGAGAAGGTGATCCCCAGAGCTGCAAAGGATTTTTAAGCACAGTGCTCCAAAATGAGAGCTTATGCCTTAAATCGAGGGCATT